ACCTTTTTAATGTGGGATAATAAAAGAGCACCTGAACAAATGGGATGAAGTAGACATGGGTTTTCCTTGCTCTTCACAGAATCATAGAATCACAGAAGGGTTGAAGTTGGAAGGGGCCTCTGGAGATCATCCAGTCCTACCCCCTGCTCCAGCAGGGACACCCAGAGCAGGGGCACAGGGCGGCATCCAGGCAGGTTTGAAGATCTCCAGAGAAGGAGCCTCCACCGCCTCTCTGGGCAGCCTGTGCCAGGGCTCTGGCACCCTCACAGGAAAGAAGCTCATCCTCATATGGAGATGGAACCAAATAACAGCATTTTTTTAGCTCCTAGTAGTGATTTTTGGTATCTGAAATTCTGTTTCTGAAGCGAAGAAGTGTCTGCTGTCCCAGCTCCATGAGGAAAAGCAAGGGGAATGAATCATAGTTCTTCTGTGGAAACAGGAGGCTCTTCAGACCCAGCCACGGGACCCAATTTCCTGTGGAGTGCAAAATGCTGTAAGAGGCAGCTGTCATGATCAAGAGTCTTCTGTTCATTGTGCCGAGGAGGGAATGGGAAAGGACTGCTTGACAGTCTTTGTCTGCTGTCCCTGGGGTTGTTGAAGGCACTCACAGACACTTGCTTGGTCTCAGGCCACAGTTCATGCCATGAGCTGAGGGAGTGCCTGGCATCACGGAGGAAAAGCAGGAGCAGCAGGTGATGGTGGCAGCGGGTGCTCACCCTGTGCTCTTGTTACAGGTTCTATTCGCACAGTGAAGGACATGAACCAACTCTTCTCCTCATCAAGACAACAGCAAAAGAGGTGAGCGAGGTGAAAGGTGACCAATAGAATTAAGTTTTAGGCAATCACCTAATGCTATGTTGAATACACAACATTTCATAATAAAATAGAGAAGGGATCTTGAAATCGTGTGTTTTTTTTTTTTTCTTTAATAATGTGTGCTTTAAATTATGCTGTTTGATTAAGGGGCTGTACTTTCTTAGGTAAATATTGCAAACTGGGCCTTGGCCAGTTCCCCTTCCTTCTTTAAATATCTTCCCCCTTTACGTAACGTGGGATGCTGGACCGTAGTAACATTTACAGAGCTCTTGGTCAGCCTCTTACTCCCAGGAACAGAAGGGAGAGGCTGTGGAATAGTGGAAAGAAGCTCATGATGCATAGAAGATATTTTCCTCCCGCTCAGAGGGAGAAAACAGCAGATACTAAGTGATATGAATAATATTGTCCACTCACTCTAACATGAAAACAAAATCCTCAGCTTCACCTCATGATTGCTTAAAGGAAATGTAATACAAGCAGCACCCCAAATGGACTGCATGCAAATGCCTCACCTAACGAGAGCTGTTCTTCCACTCTGCTGTGTGACTCCTAAACATCTTGTGAATAGCTTAAAGCCACCAGTGCAGTCTGCGCGTGGGTGTTTGTGTGTGTCTTCCTGCAGGATGGCTCCCCATGATGCAGGTTCCTTTCCTCTTTCTGCCAGTGCTGAATCTAAGGTCACAGATTCATAGCTCTGTGCCAGCCTGTGATAGCTAAAGGGGAGAGGAAAGGCATTATTTTTCCTCTTGTCCTAGAGCTTGTCACAAAGTCTAGCTTTATAAGTGCTACTGGATTTTTACGACATAGCTACAGTTCTTATCCCACAAAAAAGAAAAAGGGCAGGAGAATAGTTTTTTTTTTTTCATTTTATATATATTTTTAGCAGGGGTAGCTTTCATCCTTTATTCTAATGTTTATCATTACATTTTAGGAAAAAGAAAAAAAAATAAACTTGTGCTCAGGAATCTTTTGGGAATATCAGATCAAATGTCATTTCATTTACTTCCTCAGCAACAAAACCAATCCTTAGGAATTTTTGTCCTTGTAAGGCTGATAGAGGCTTAACAGCAAATGTACCTTAGAACAATTCTGCAAAACCTATTTTAATCTTTTCCTTTTTTTTTTTTTTTTCAGTGTGGGATTGCTTTTATCTCATTCTTAGAGCTGTATTGTTTGGTCTGTCTCTGCTTGGCAGTGATCCTTATTGCGGGCAGTGAGATACAGTTCTCGGGCAAACAAAGAAGCCCACAGGAAAGCTCCGCACTGTGAGGTTGCGTTTTTCTTTATCGGGAACTAGTGCCCGTTGAAGCACACGCTGTTCTGAAGCTGCTGTTTTCAGGACTTGTACTAGCTGGGCACTGCTTTAGCTAACCGAGTTTTAATCTGCAGTTTGAAATTGGGAGATAGACCAAGGCCAACATTTGCAAGCAGAAAATGCTCAGCCAACAGTGCTGACCTTGTAACTTGGGACGATACTGCTGCTTCGAATGCAAAAAATGAGGAAGCGGAAGTCAGGCTTTTCAAATTTGGAGTGATTTGTGTTTTGGTAGCTGGAGTTATATTGGACCGTTCCTCTTCTGAAGCCTGAGAGGTGTACAATAATTTTTGAAGCTCTTCAGATTTGAAGGGTATTCCCCAATGGATTAAAGCAGTTTAAATCTATCTTTAGATATAAGTACTTATGCTGCTTTAATCCACTGATCTAGAGATTTTGAAAGTCAAACTAAAAAGAACTGTTTTAGACCCTGAAATGGTGGTGCCAGTTGGTTTAACATACTTTCCTCCTAACCTTGCTGTTTGTGCCAGGTCTGCGGGGCTTTTCTGTCAACTGATTGGAGTGAGCGCAGGCGAGGAGGGAACAAGCTGAGTTTCTTTGGGACAGGGGAGTGCTTTGTGTTTAGGGTGAGTAAAATTTGATATTTGATTTTTCACTATCTCAATCACTGATGTGAGTAACTTGCACCTGCCTTCTACTGAGAAGAATTATATGTCCTTCTGGTTTTAAAGTCTGCTGAACTCTTTAATTACATCCAGAGGGAAAAAATGACTTTTCAGTTCTGGGGTGAGCCTTTTTTCACCCAGAAGTGCACAACATTTTCTTACAAGAAAGGTAACTTGGAAACCATTGTGTCATTTCTTCAGCCACCGGGAAGGCAAAGGGATAAAGGAAGAAAGTACAACCTACCCTAAAAGTTTGATCTGATCTTTCCTGCTAATAGTGTGTTTGGAGTGTGGGAGGTTTTAATGTGATTTCTAAAGCAGAGCTCTCAGTATTGCAGATATTCTCTAACTACATTTTTACTCTTTTCTTCTCATATGTAGCTACAGCCTGAAGTAGAACGCTACGAGTGGGTCATAATAAAACACCCCGAACTAGCCATGAGTGTTTCTGAACCAGAAAATCATGCTTCAGGGTCTTCCAGTACTCTTTCCTCCAGTAGTATCCCAGCAGATCCCTCAGATCGTCTTTCTCCCTTCCTATCTGCTCGGCACTTCAACTTGCCTTCCAAAACAGCCTCTATGTTCATGGCTGGCAGCAGCGAATGCATCATTATAGGTAAGTCAGGGCTTGAATGTGGACATATATCCCACCTGCTCTTCCTGTCAGCTACAGTAAGAGATTCAGCTCTTTTGTTCAATATTGCTACAGTTGCTGCAAGAAAACGGGCTAAGACCTGTTGTTACCCAACAGGAAATTTGCACATCAAGCACTTTAGAATAAGCCCTTCAGTGTACCTCTAAGCATAGCTATACCTTCATCCTGCCTAGTTTGCAGTGAGAAATAACTCCTGAAGAGGAACTTACTTTGCATGGGGGTTTTTGTTTACAGGGTAAACTATACACATACACATTTATATCTTTGGAACTATTTTGGATCTGTCATGCTGTAGACTGGGGAAAAAGCCTGCCCAGTAAAGTAGTCACCTAAATGGGATTTAAAGGAAAGAGATATGAATCTGTAGTTGCCCTTGACACTTGCTAGGAGAGCCACTGGACCAGTGATTTCTGCTGCAACAACAAGCAGGTGCCAGCTGACTCTCACTTAGCAGCATGTGCTCTAACCCACCGCAGGCTGGACGGCTCCAGAACCAGCTCGGCTGCTGAAAGCAGGGGCACGTATGTGCCTGGATTGTGAGTCACTAATAATAACCGATCACAGATTGTTTTGGAGATCTTTATTGTTCATTAAAGGTAGTAATAACAGAAACAGGCTTGGGCATTGCATAGCAATTAGTGCTGTATACAATTTCACCCATAGACCAGAATTTCTATTCTTTTGATTTGCTGGGTGTTTTCTATTGCTATTCACTGCAGTCTCTGACTCTAAGCTCTGTGAATCTTGGCAGAGATCCACAGATAATCAAAACACTGTTAACAATGTGATATGGGGTTTTTTTTATGATTAGAAGACCAAGCAAGTGCCGTTACTGGTGTGTCTTGTTTTTCTCACAGCTTTGATTTGTTCGCTAAATTCAGTGAGTTTCTTTACCACAGTGAAAATAGGCAGTGGTAGCTGGAACCTCTGGCACTGAAAAATCGTGAAGTCAAGCATTTGAATCAGGCTTCTTGGTCTTACTGACTTACAATAATCTATACAATTATTTTCTGTTCTGATAGTTTCATTTAAAAGCTATGTATTTGAGCAGAATACTGTTTGCACCAGAAGACAGTAAGTATACATCATAAAGCTTCCCTTTCATAGCTTCCTAACACTTTTTTTTTGCCTCTTTGCAGGAGGAGGTGATGGCCAGGCTCTCTACCCTTATGCAGATCTGAAACCTGGAAGGACAAGTCACTGCGATACTTTCAATAATCAGCCGTTGTGCTCTGAAAGTTTCCAGATCTCTGTCCTGGAGGTGTGGGGCTTCAGGGACACCATGAATGGTTGACATGACTATCAACCAACAACTAGTTTTTCAGGTGTCTTAGGATTCCCAAGACAAATTCTAATGGAGGAGCCGGGTTAGGATATAATTTCCACTGGGCTCAGTATTGTTTAGTAATTACTAAGCAGCACACTTGAATGCAGGGCTTAGTTGTTTACTCTTTTTTTTAAGACAGGTCAAAGATGAAGTAGTGTATCTGATTAACTCCTTATCTCTTTACCTCTACAGATCTGGATTCAGATCTTGATACTAGATAAAAATGGAACTGTAATTATCTCAAACCATCCTAAATGGATACAAACCCATATCATAGTGTAGCTTTGCAGTGCAATGCAATCCTCAGAGGCCCAGAGCTTGCTGAGGTGTACTGAAGAGCTGTGTGCCCCTGGCACCAGTATCTGGCTGGCAAGAGCCAGTAATACCATATTTCCACTCACAGAAGCATTGAAAATCACAGATTGCACGAAAGGCACAAAAAAAAATCATTGCTCCACTGTAAATGGACTTGTGCAAACAAATAAGTTAATATCAGTACTTCTCATGAGTAAGCTCTGAAAGCATTCATTTCACAAAGGAAACCGTGATCACTGGATCCCCTTCTCCTAGCACCTGAACCCTTGGCACATTCCAATTGCATCTGCTTGAGGAGCTTGCCTCTAAGAAGGAGGCATCCAAACTGGACAAGGGTGCCTCCTAGTACACAAAAATAATGTAGTGTCCACAAGAAAATGGAGGGAGGCGAAAGGGGAATATGAGTAATACTGTTCTGGGAGAGGGCTAGTTTTCTAAGGGAAACTCTAGGTGACACCACTTCCCAGTGATGAGAGTCTCAAAGAGGTAACATTCCTGCCTACGGTACCTTCTGGTAGAGCTTAGATGAGGCAGAGAGGTTGTTCTCCATTCCTGAGAATTTGTGTGGTCTCTTTGCCGTCTGTGCTAACTGAGGGTGGTTCTCCCAGGTCTGCAGCTAAACTGCTGTGTCTGGCGGGGGAGCTTCTCCCACGTGAAGCAGAAACATCCAGTCGGTGGTCCAGAGCATAGCACTGAAAGCTCCCAAAACTTCAGTGCGTGGCTCGCTAGTAAAAAGATTTGCCCCTGTAGATGAAATAAGGGTAAAGAGAAAATGTTGTTTGGGGTTTTTTTGTTTGTTTGTTTGTTTTTGAGCTTTTTTTTCCAGTAATTCAATTTAAACAATTGCACTAGCATGGGGCAATACTATTTGTACCTAAACATGAAGTTTATAAAAGGGGAAGCTTAAAAATTGTGGTGATAAAATCTCAGCTGTGCTGGGCGGGGCCACAGTATTATTAAGTTGTCACAGGTAATAAGTTTAATTGATAACTTGTTCAGCTTGCCAGCAAAGAAAATGTGTCATGGTAGACTGCTGCTTCTTGGAAAGCATATGAACAAATTTGAAATTTCTTCATCAGGTGCCATTCTGAAAAAAAAAAATCCAAACTAACTCCTTGAAATATTGGACTATAGATGCAGTTTTTTTAGAGTGTTTTGCACTGTTTATGTTTGCAATTAGGTTATTTTGCACTGTCTGAGAGTCAGCACTGAGCTCCCTTTCTTGTTTGCCACTGGGCGAGTTCTGGCCAGCTGTTGGATCACTTGCTGCTTGCTTTTGTCGTAGGTTTACCATGCGTGTTTAA